ATTCTGAAGGCTATGGGGCAACACAGTTGGATAGCACTATTAGCCACTGTAGCATAGCGAATAAAATACTCAGAAGCACCCACAATAGTCAATCATATTATATGTAAGATACAAAGATAAAATTCATTCACATCACCATCACAATTCATAACTAAAATTCAGAAAAGTGCAGTACACATACCAACTGCTGGTATCACCCAGAAAAAAGATCACTAAGAAGAATGAAACCATTTTGGCATCTGCATGTAAAGTTGAAGTAATAAATCGTAAAATACAAAGCAAGAGATAACATTATCTTTGACGCCAAGAAATAACGGAGAAACTCCGTACTCTTCAAAACATAATGCCATCAGTATCTGTTTTTACAGAAGAATCGCAAAGCACTTAACAAAGGAACTGCTCGTTATTAGCTTATGAGTTACTAAAAATTCCTTTAAAAATTTCAAAATCATTCGAGACTGAACATCGGTGAGCTTTCCGATTCAACGCTCATATACAGTCTTCAATATATGCCCAGGTTACGTAAATATAATGACGCAATATGAAACCAGTACTGCTTAATTGGCTGCATCATTCGAACTGTACATTACGCGAAGAAAATTCCGTACATCTCTAAATCATTCGTGACTACTATTTGTAGAGAGTGCATTATTCCTATGCTGCAACTACAATTTATGCCCAAAATTTTAGCAAACTGTGACAAATGTGCTACTAACTGCGTCTAACCATCTGAAGACGAATAGACAGGAGGTGCCGAAGCAGAATGGTGTGAGTGATTTTCTCTGCTAATGAACAAAACGTTGTGAGTAAGGAAGCAAAAAGTAGCGCTGTAAACGAAAAAGGCGTGACCGTAAAAAATTACGTAGATCCCGATGCATTCATCAAACATTTTCTTCGCTTCGAAGTGGAAGACATACCTGATGCATCATAATTCACCTTAATATTCTCCAGTTACACTCAAGATTTTCTGCAATTAACATTAGATGTAATTCAGAAATGTACAGCCGAAATCTGATGAAACGCCTTAGGCTGTTCCGATGGCACTAGCTGATGATAATTGAATTCGTATTCGAATAAAGTGTTGAGTTATCACAGGTATAATGATTTATTGTTTCCTCAACTAACTGCTTTTGGACGCCTAGCATGTTGTTTCAGATAACCTTGCAATGATGAAAGTTCATCCTAAAATACACCGGACGTTTTCGGTCGGGTAACAAAGATTTCAAGTGCATTAAGAAGTCAAGAATAGCTTATCGCGCCTCCTTCTGATGAGAAAACTG